GAGAATTTCGCTGAATTCTTGAGAAAGCCCCAAAAGTGCTGACCCAGATTGGAACAAAACTTAGCCATTAACAGTATTTTAACAAGGATTATCTTATTATTGGACAATTTAAGGGAGTGGAAATAGGCCTCAAATTGCTCAGTTTAAATCCAATCCAGGACAACAACGACTTAAAATAATTTTCAACTGAAGCACTGTAATTGAGTGGGCTGAGCAGCCAGGTTTGTTGCTGAGTGGTGTCCACATTAGAGAAGCCATGCAGCTGATTTGTACTGCAATCCTTTAAAGAGCTCTCAGCAGTCATGGATTGAACAAACACAGTCTCATTTAAGATGTTCATCCATGTCAAAGACAAAAAGAAAGTAGCAGAGTAGCTGGACCATTACCCTTACCTGTGCTGGAGCATTTCTGTTGCTAAATGACTGAGATGACTCTTCAAGGCTGAACAACTGATAGTTTCCAAGAGCAACAGATGCACAAGCAAGAAAAAGGATAAACAACGTCCTGAAGAGACACTGTGATCCTGCAGACCTTGTACTGGCTCTGCCACAGACTTGCTATGTATCCATAAGCAACTCATCACTTGGCTCTTACTGCCTCTAGACTGCAAATTGCCTGCATACTGCTTTAGGTGTTCATGGAATAGAGGTCTGATTGCTGTTCAGTATGTGGATACCACCAGAATACAATGACATAGTTTTGCCTTCCTACAGCTTAGGCTTGGGACCCTTTGTGTGTGATACACCTCACCTTCTCCATGCCTCTGTCTTTTGCAAAGATGATGATAACAAAACCCGTAAATTAGAATTAAATCGGCTAATGGTTGTAGAGCACAACGAGCTTCTCCGTGAACAATATGCTTGCATCAAGTGACAGCAGCAGGATTTTTGGTGATAATTACTTCTTCCTTACAGCATAGCTTACCAATTCGTCTGAAACTACTGTCACCAGGTGTAATGCATTCTCCCATTTCTCATTGTATCACTTCAGGCTTCTTTTAAAGTTTTCTTTGCACTTATTGACTTAATAGGCATTTTATTTTTTTGTTGCTTTTCATTGCATGTGGCTAATGTTCCATTTCTGGCTGGCATGCTGAGGATGAAATGGGATCATTAAGTTAATACCCAGTTTAACTATACCAGTCTGCATTTAAATTGAAGCAAAAATATGCATAAATAGCTTCAGGTTTACCTCTTCAGTCTCTCTTATCGTATGTAATAACTTGATAATTTTATTTCTATGTAGTAATTATTTTCATGCTAGTATCTTTTTGTGCATACAGTAATAATATTTTACTTGTTTCTTTGTCACTGAAAATTATCCTGGAGATTGCAGAACAGACAAAATAGTTTCGTCCTATCACTGGCTGTGACTAAACTCAGTGTTGTCTCCACTTTTGCTTTACTAATTTTGGCTCATTACCAGAAACAGAGCTTAATAACAATATATGCTAAAAAATAGTTGACTAATGCATGCCTGCTTTAAATAAAATGAAACGTTTCTTCTTTCTTTTATGAAAAGGTAAGAGACTTTTGTGCGAAGCTGTTCAGAATCATGTCTCAAAAGCACTAAAGGTGTCATCACTGGGACAGAGCTAGAGCTTTATCCAAAGGCTTAATAATATTAACATATTCTTTCCCAAGTGGTTTACATCCCAGGAGCTCAAACCATTTAATGAAAAATAATTAATTATCCTTTAGCATAGCTGCTGCCAGGTAGGCCAAACAGTTATCCACAATATTAGAAGAGAAATTCAGACACAAACAAGTTGGTGATTTGTGAGGATCACAATGGTGAAGGTGTGAGGTGGGAATCCTGACCTGTGGCCTCTTCAGAGGCTTGTGTTTCCATAATGTCCTCACACCTGTGCTCTACTATTTAAGGATTTCTGGGAAATATGGTGTTCTAATTGTGCCTTTTCCCTCAAAGCCTGCCTTAAAAATGCATACTCTTCAGAGGGGGCCAAAGTGGGTGGTATACTGCAGCTGTGTTGGGTTTATGAGACCTATGGACTCACCTGTATAAAGGGAATTGGCAGCTGTCAAAGGAACTCACTTAGTCTTTACCTGTTAGGAAGGGAGGTTTAGAAAAGCTGGAGATTCGATGCAAAAATTATATCGTTCCTTAATAGTGCACAGATGAAGATGCATAAAGTATGGTTTGACTTCAGTTCCTTCTCCTTGGAAGACCATGCCTACCCCTCTAGAATTGGCTCTTAATCTCTTCCAGCACCACAGTGTCTCCATACTCAGTTCTCTATATCCTCATCTTCAGATTTCTTTCCATTTCAACTGCCCAGTCTGGTTTTTCCTCTCAAAGTTCCCTTAATCCAGCTCTTGCCAATCCTTCCAGTTTGAGATCTCAGTGAGAATTAATCACCTTACAGTGTTCACAGCACATGTACTGCTATGAAGATAAATTAAACCACTCCTTATATCTCTGTATTATTCTAGCTACATCTCAAATAAGTTTACAGACAAGTTGCGAACTAATATCTTATGGTTTCTATATTTATTCCCCTCCACTTTCAAACTTCTGGTGCTTTGCTTACATTTTTGGTTCTTTTGAAAACATTGCATAATTTAGGATAGCTTTCAAAAATATTTTCTCTGGTTCAAGCACACGTTGAGTGGGATGTGAAGGAGAATCTGTGACTGTTCTGCAAGAGGTCAGACTACTGCTTGTCACACTAATTCTTGTGTTGGCTTTAAGCACATACTCAGGGCATAAGGCTTGTTCATGATTCGCCTCCTGAATTATTGAAATCACAGTATGATAGCTGATCTGATCCAAGGAGTAACACTGGGGCATTTACAGCTAGAGTTGCAGAGTGGAAATAAGATAGTTACTTTTTTTCCCTGTTTTCTGAGCTCTTGAGAACTAATTTTAAAATATGTATGCATGTGTAATATATTTGTGGCTTATCTCTCTAATTACCAGTATTATTGGCTTTAATTCATGGTAGCATCAGAATAACTTCCTATCTCCTGCTTAATATTTTTGGAAAATAAATTTGCACCAAAGCCAATGATGCTGCAGGCAGTTAAAATAACTCCACAAACCCAAAAAGCAAAAGGCAAAACAATACTTACAGAATCTTTGTTCTAGTTTCTTTTGACTGATGTCTGATAAACATCTAATGAATATTGAATTCTAATCCTGCCCATCTATTAGTGGTAGCACAGCATGTTAGGTACTCTGCTACTAAGTTCAAGACTTTGCCATGGTTCTTCATTCCCACCCACCCAGAGAGGAGGGAAAGGGTGGGGCTGGATACAGCCACTAAGGCATTTTCAGTGGTGTTCAACATTCCTCAAACAGATCTAGAATTTCCAAGGTTTTTAGGTTCTATTTCAACATTTAAGTTAGTGGCTGGGATTTCAAAAGACTCATGTGCTTTACACTGTGAAGCTACCCATTGATGACAGAGCTGGAACAACTTCTTAGGACATTTAGGCTATACCTCAACTAAATATACCCCAACAAACACGATGATTTCTAATAGGAAAATCCATCTTCTACAGGCAGCAGTTGTGTGTTCAGACACACAAGATAGCCTTACTTTACCAACCAGTTTTGCAATTTGAGTTTTAAAAACAACTACTGAGAAATGGTTGCTCTTTCATGAGAGACATTTCAAAATCTGTCACTTTTTTTCTCAAGATTCTGTTATCTTGAAAAAAATAGTGATTTTTAATATTATTTGCACACTTTCTTAATTATGAAGTGAAGCCAAAACTTGCAGACAATACTAGCAGGATAACTTATAAAAACATATAAAATATTTTTTTATATAAAGAAAATATATTTTCTTTATATCCTATAGAATTTCTTTACTTTGCTTCCATTTTGGGAGACTTAGGTCTTTGTGAACTAAGCTCATGCAGGGGCTGTGTCTGTTGACATTTTGTAGTTTCATTCCTACAAGTTTCTGTCAGAAATTCTTCTCAGCTGTTTGTGCTTAGTCTGTCATGAGGGACTTCGGAATTCATTTCCTCTTAATTAATTGAACAGCTTTTTTTCGATGCTTTTTGTCTCCTGTTTTCTGCAATATCATGCTGAATACATTCTGACCTCTCCATTTTTCTTTTTTAAACCAATACAGCTTAAACAGGCCTGCTTTCAGGAACATGTTTCCATTTGGTACCAAAACATGCAGGCATTCTACTTTTCAGTCTCTAAATTCATGTTCTAAATGAAGGCCAAGTATGGTGAACCCTTGGAATAAGGTTTTCCAGAGGCCAAGTTGCTCCTTCCCAAATCCACCTTCTATAAATTGGTTCCTTCTACCTTCAATGAACACAGTTCATAGCCCTGTTTCTCTCTGGATTAGAAGAGGTAATACATCAATTATAGAGAAATAACCAGTTGCCAAGTAATTACTACAAAGTGCTGTTTGTCTCCTCAGCTGATTTCAATGCCCCAGTGAGAAACACTCAGCCCCCTTGAAGGATTAGGCCCTACATCATTTCTAATCACATCCTTGACTCCTCTCTAGTGGGTCTGGGCTTTAGCTGTTAGTCAAGCTGAGATGGTCGAATGGCATGAAAAGTTATAAGAATTAAAGATGAGAAACCTTCTTCAGTTTACATTGCCTGCACTTGCGCCAAGATAGGACTCTGCAGAGTTGCAAGTAATTGCTTTGAGTGAGTTTTGTAGCAGTTTATGGCTGTTCTTTCGAAGTTTGTAGTGGTATCGGTTAAGGAACAGTAGCTATAGTTATGTACTGGGTTGGGATTCCTTAGAGGTGTGATAGATTCAGACTAACAAAAAGAATGTCACTTTGGCTTAGGGATTCTTTCACTTCAAAATGGTTACATTGAAAGTAATAAGCAAAAAAATAGAGAAACCAGTCAATGTAGCATTCAGATAGAATATTCTTTACTACTTGCATTAATTACCTCATAGTCAGATAGCTCTGTGATTAGATTTACATTCCTAAAAAAACCTATTAAGACAGTTTGACTAGCTTAATTCATTTTCTCTGCTTTCACACACAGATCAACTTGACATCATTTCAATGGCTGAAACAACAATGATGCCTGAGGAAATTGAGCTTGAGATGGCAAAGATCCAGAGACTTCGGGAAGTCTTAGTCAGAAGAGAATCAGAACTCAGGTTTATGTAAGTATCAATACTTCTGGGAAAACACTATGCAAAATTAATCAAAATAGGAAAGAATGCTATTTAGAAGACTTTCATCTGCTTGACATTTTAAAAGGAAGAAAGATAGCGAGCATCCCAGTTAGGTGAATACTTGCAAAATGCCATTGGGAAATTATTTTTGTAGTTGCAAAGGAAATTACTTTTTTTATTCTGCACCTTTTTTTATTCAGTATGATTTGCAGAAGACATAAAAGGGACCTATTACTTACAAAAGGAAACTTTAGCGAAGTATGTGTCTACAGAGCATATTTTTATACCTGACTTCAGTCCTTTGTGGGAAGGATATTTATCTGAAGAAAATATCAACAGGTAGGGGATTTGGAGCTTCCACAGTCTAACCTAATTCAGGCTTTATTCCTCGCTGTGTTAGTGGTCTTAGACAGTTCATGTCACAAGAGAGCACACCATGTTCTGGACTAATAGCAGCCAAGATTTGACATTTGTTAAATGGAAGCCATTAAGTTATGAACACAAAACACATTTTGACATATCAAATTAAATAGTAATACTCCAAGAGAGATTTTCAAAACTGCCAAAAGGGTCAGGCATAGGAGCCTCACTGAAGGTTAATGAAAATTAATCTGGTTCTGATGATGAAGTCAATAGGGTTTATATTCCTAAATCACTGAATTTGGAAGATCAGGACTTACTAATAAGGAGTATATTATTTTGAAGTCTCATCTGTCTGTGAGTACCTGAGGTCAGAAACTAATGCCTTTGCTGACAGG